TTATTTATTTATCTCTCTATTTATATTGATTTCAGAGAGGAAGGGAGAGGGAGAGAGAGAGATAGAAACATCAATGATGAGAGAGAATCATTGATTGGCTGCCTCCTGCACATCCCCTACTGGGGGTGCAACCCAGGCATGTGCCTTTAACCAGAATTGAACCTGGGGCCCTTCAGTCCACATGCCAACTCTCTATCCACTGAACCAAACTGGGTAGGGCTGCCAACATATTTTAATTAGCTTTCACTCGTTTACCTTGCCTCTGATTATCAACTACAAAATAACAATCATTAGGACCAGCCCTGTAAAAGGATGAATGAAAATATGTCACACATATTGAGAAAACAGACCGGAATATTCTTCTTCTTACCCTAGGAATATCAAAAGCTAAGTAATTTACCATTCTCCCAAAATATAAAACCAATTAGTACATCAAAAACTAGCTCAAAATAATAAAATAAAAAATAAAGACACACCGGATAAGCAGGAGCCCCACAGCAATCCTGTTTGTTTTCCACAGAGCTCCAAATGTTAGTTTGATTCCAGGCTCTGCCCATTTCTTGTTTTTGCAAGGTCTGAAAAGTCAATTATTCTAAACGTAATCTGCAGCCTTAAAAACTGGTACTTTGCCAAGTAATTTCAAGTGCTTCCCAAAGGAAAACTAATAATTTCACTGTTTTTCTTTTGGTTGATGTTACAGAAGTAAATTGTATATACAATTAATTCATCCCTGATGTTTGCTATCGACTCAAAGAGCTTAGAATGGGGGGGATACCCATTGAAATGCATAGAGAACAGATGGTTGACTCTCCCAGCTTCTGCTGACTGGCCTCCATTCTTCTGAATGCTGATTAGGGATTAAGCTGGTAAGTGAGTGGTTTCACATGCTAGCTTCCACAGAGGTAGCTCATATCCTAATCTGAGACAGTAATTGCTGTGTCCGTATGCACATGCTTCTGAAATAGACTGGGAAATTCTCAAATGCCCTGAAAATATGTATTACCACATATTCCATTTTAAAAGTTAGTCATTTTTAAACATTTTTTTTTGGTTGGGGTTTTCAGTTCACATCTTTATAAACATTTTCCTAATATAGTATTTTGCACTTTGTCAGAGCTTGATAAATCTTGGTTGAACAAATTGATACATACATTCTTATAATATTCTTTTCAGGGCAAAATATTCTCAATACTTTCATTTCACCAAGAGTAGAAGTAAGACATGGAGCCACAAAGGAATTGGGCTCCTCATCATTATTGGAGTTCTATAAGGGCTTATTTATCTAATTCTAAATTCTCATCCACCTCTGAGATTCTATAAGTTAGATATTTTCCATTGGAGAGGAAGTAAAAAGCCTCTGAAAGGAATCCCTCAGTCTCCATGAAGGAGTGACAGTTACCTAATGAATCTATAATGTGGACACTGACCATCAAGATCAGCTAAGATGAAAGTGCAATACACAGAGTGAGCTCAAGTACATTGTTATTTGTTCCCATGCTTGGACTCATTCATTCATGGAGTTGTTTTATGTACCTGCCAAGAACTGAGTCAAGCACAGATAGAGCCATGAACTGTTCCTGGAACAGGTATCTGTCGGCTAGTCTTCCTGTTGACCTCATTTCCATGTTTACTTAGTCACTCAATAATTCTGAGCTTCTGCTGTGCCAGGCACTATGCTAAGCATTAAGGGTATAGCAGTGTACAAATCCGACACCATTCCACTCATGGAGCTTACATAAATAAATGTACAATATCAAACTACTTGAACCTTCTGGGGAAAAAAGAGAAAGAATACAATAGGGAACCAAATTTTCTCTTTCAGGGATCTTCTCCAAGGAAATGCAATTCAAGCTTCGATCTAAGATGACCAGAAGTTAACCAGGCAAAGTGTAAGAAGAGCTTTCCAGTTTGAGGAAAGAGCATGTGGGAAGCGCTCGGCAGGAAGACATTGAATGCATTTTGTGAATGCGAGTAATGTGGTCAGCAAAGGGAAGATGTTTAAGAGGCAGGCAGGGGTGAAATCATGCACAGCTTGGATGCTCTGTTAATGACTTTGCATTTGTACTAATGCAAAGAGAGCAATAGTTCTGATCTGTATTTTTACAGATCACTGGCTGCACTGAGAATATACCAGAAGGACAATAATAGAAGTGGTGAGACCAATGTGGAGCTATTGTAGATGGGAGATGATGGAGGCTTGGATTGAAGTGGAACTGAAATTAGAGAATAAATAGATTTAAAGTACATTTTGGAGGTAGAATCAATAGGACTAGAAGATAGATTGAATGATGGATGTGATCAAGAACAAGGTCTAGGTATAATTCTCAAGTTTTTGGCTTGGGCAATGGGATAAATGTATTTGCCATTTATTGAGTTGGGGAAGCTTGAAAGGAGAGCAACATGGGGTGAAATCAAGAATTTTAGTATCAGTGTACTGGTGGTAATACCACTAACATGTGTGCGTGTGTGTGAGAGAGAAAGGCCTTTTTCATTCTAGAAGTGAAGAATAAAATAGGAAAAGGGCGAAAAAGAAGACAATTTAAATAAATATAAAATAAAATTCCCAAAAGGATGATGGAGGGTAGGGGTTGGAGACTGATGCATATCAGGAGTGCAGAGGATATACAATTTGAAAAAAGGCATACTTGACATTATCTTGTAATTTTTTTTTTAATTTGGGGAAAAAAACCTATGTTCTTGATAATATAGATTATAGATTCTATAATAGAGAAAGTAAACTAAAAAGAATCATATCTGGTGGGTCTACACAAAAGGTAGACTGTATCATCTGCTTATTGGCTTTGGTGAGTTTTTTATGGAGGGATGCATCAAAATCCCCAGTGGAATGCAAGGAATGTAATTTTTATGTTCATTGGAAAAGAGCACAGGTTTAAAAAAAAAAAAAAAGATTGCTTAACACTGAGCCAGAAGAAGGGAAATGAGAAGGCATGGTAAAAATAAAGGAGAGAAAAGAAATGGGTGGAGAATTTTTCCAGCAAGCAAGGACATCTCTGCCCCCATGCCTGTGCCAAAGCAGGTGCTAATGGTCACCTGGGTTTGCATCCCAGTCGGGCCACTTCTCAGTGGGTGGCCTTGGGCATGTCAGGCGACTGCCCCAGCCTCAGTTTTCTTATTTTTAAAAACCGATAATGATAGACCTATCTCATACAGTGATTGTCGAGGTTAAAAAGAAGAACTCATAAGAAGTGCTTAAAATGCCTGGCACAGAGGAAGAGCTCAACAAGTGTTAGCTGCCTTTCTGTAGCTGATTATGGATGCATAATTGCTAGGAAGTGGTTGTAGGTGTGTGTATCTTCTCACTTCCCTAGTGCTATGGTGACTTTGCTCTCTTAGGTTCAAAACTATATGGTTCACTGTATCAAAAAATAGTCTTTATGATTTGTTAAAAATATAGGAGGATATGATTCATATTTATAAAGCATCGTAAATATTATTAGGATTTAATTTTTGGAAATTAGTGAAAATGCCTCATCTAATTACATAGCCAAAAATATGTCTTCTCATTTATTTCTAAAAATGTTAGCTATCATTTAAAATTTGCTATTTAACTCCTTAGGGAGGTCAGTAATTAACTTCTAAACTTATTCTTTGAAAATACCAAAAATTAGACATAATGTTCTAAAACCCTCTTGATATATTCATTATCACTTCAAATCATTGTAAAAATCTATATTTTCTCAGCCCTAACATTATTATGAAGACATATGAAAATATTCCATCTGAAAACATACCTATGTAAGCATCCCCTTAAATCTAGGAACATCACAAGTGAGATCTCTCAATTGAAACTGAATTGGGACTACCTTATGGAACACTGCACTCTCTTTTCCTTCCTGACTCTCTTTACTCTCTGGCTTTGGTTCTTATGTAAAAGTGAAGTTTTATTATTTACCATACATATCCTTTAGAATATTAATGCACAAATTACATCCAACCTTTAGACTTAGAACAATATGTTTACAAAATTGTGGAAAGACAGAAAGTATTCTAAGGTCAAATCTGGAATCGACACTTATTAGTAATATCATACTGATGGTAAGGCCTTGATTGCTTTAAACTTTGTTATTTTTTATATAAAACAGGAATAACTAAATAAGAGAACATATGTAATTGCCTAGCTTGATAACATACTGTGAGAATATATTATTGCCCTGGCTAGTTTAGCTCAGTGGCTAGAATATTGGTTTGCAGACTTAAGGGTCCCGGGTTTGATTCCGGTCAAGAGCATGTACCTCAGTTACAGGTTTGATTCCCGACTCTGGTCGGGGCACCTGCAGAAGGCAAGCAATTGATGTGTCTCTCTCACATCAATGTTTCTCTCTCTCTCTGTCTCTCCCTCTCTCTTCTACTCTCTTTAAAAATCAATGGAAATATATCCTTGTCTGAGGATTAACAGGAAAAAAAAAAGAATGGTGAGAATTAACAGAAAAATTAAAAGGATATATTTTTTTGTGGTCAGATAGAACTGTTATGTAGTTTTGGACAAGTTGTTTAATACCTCAAGGAGTCAGTTAAGTGATGGCACTAATTTAATACTTTAGTTAAAATATTAAATGGCGATAATAGCATCTACTTCTTAGGCTATGTTATACCTGGAGCACAGTAAGTGTTTACTAAATAGTATCTAAAAATGTATTCAATAAATGTCCTATTTTATCCTCGGATTGAGGGAAATAGTGCTACTTAAATTTCAAAGTTAATTCTTTTAAAAAATGTAATTAATACCTCATTCAAAATGCATGGGAACCAAGAACATTGGAGCATCATGTGATCATGTCTGAATGCTCTATGAACACACCAGGAAAAACAACAAGGCAATGTTCTTAAATTCTCCCATGGCGCCAAGGGAGCAGAACATCTCTCCGCCTCGAGGAAGATGTCCAGGGCAAGAGAAGCGAGCAGAGGCGGGCTCTGCCCATTCTTCCCTGGTGGAAGCACATGCAATTCGAGAAGATGAAGTGAGGAAGCGCATGCAGTACCTGGTCATCTCAGAGTCAGGGAGCAGGCCTAGGTGGTAGTGGGGGTAGGGAGCTGATAGAAGGAAGCTTTTGTCACACTCAACAGGGGAATAGTGCCTGGGAGAAGCAGGCTTATCACAGAGTTTGTTCACAGTGCTGTAAACGGGTTCCGGAGGCCTGGTGACACAAGAGGGAGAGAAAGAGTTGCATGGTCAGCACACACACTGAACAACTGTGCACCTGGTAGCATTTCACCATACACGAATGTAAAAACCCAGAACAACGTTATGGGCTTCATTAGGCCCAAGTTAAGAGTCTTTTTGTAGGAAACAGGATGTCTGGTGAGAAAATGGAACTTTGGCTCACATGTGGCATGACTAACATTTACATGCCAGATACCTCAGTAGTGTCAAAATCAACCTGCAAATGCCATGCCTTTTTGGATAATCCAGTCTGAAATGCCACACCTTGGGATGCTCTGACATGTCTATTTATTTGTTTGTTTGTTTGTTTATTGTCTTTATTGTTGAAAGTATCACATATACATGGCTTCTTTGTAAACTTTAATCTCATCTTAAATGTGCACTTCATAGAGATGTTCACCCCTTGATCATTGTGGCCAAGACATCCTGTTCTTTTTCGCAGCACATATTTCACCTCATATTTTTTTCTCAGCATGGAATAATCTTTCTTTTTGGTTTGTTTTGTTTAATTTATTATTGCCACTGTCACTACACCCTGGATTTTATAAGGACAGAGATTTCATTTGTTTTGTTAGCCACTAAAATAGAGTGTGGGACAGAGTACACCTTGCATAAATATTTATTGAATGCCTGCATAAATAAAAACATGCATACAACTTTTCACATACTTCGCAAATATTGTGGGGGTGGTTGTAGGCCTTACTTAGGAATCTAATAGCTTGTATGATCTGGGTGTTTCTGCTAAATATTTATTTATAGATTATCCCCCCCCCCTCAACAATTGATTTCAGAGAGTTTTCTATGCATAGGATACTCATTTTAGTAAAATGTCTATTAAATGAATTAATCTAGGGATACTGAAACATTATCTAAAATAGCAACATTTTAATAGTTATTACTTATAATCATACATAATATAATCAGATAATTTTTACCTATAATATTTGGTCAGAGATCCATGTACTATAAAGAAACAATACCATCTCTACCCCACACTTTTAATATACCTGAAATTGCTACTAATATCCTTTAAGGTAAGAACTGAAAGATAGAAATTTAAGTGCAAGAACTATCTAGCAGACTGGGCCACAGCTGCAGGAAGGTAAGCTTGACTGGGAAGGTAAGGGGCAGGTCAGGACACAGGACCGAGAGCACCCGTTGGCCCACAAGACACCAGAGGCAGCAAGCAGTGGCCATGTGCCTGAGAGGTACAGGAAATGTATGTGGCAAACTCGGTGAGGGCACAGGCCATGTTTCTGTAGCTCTAGCCCCCAACATCGCCCCTAATGTATAATAGGTACTCAACTAATGCTTCCTGAACTGATTGAGGAGGGAGAGCAGGGAGGAAAAGAGAATAAGCAAAGTATTAAAGGCGAACTTTACCTCATTTGTAATATTACTAGAGGCCTGTTGCACGGAGAGATTCGTGCGATAGGCCTTCCCTTCCCTTGACTGCTGGCACCGGTTTTCCTCCCATACCCGGGACTCAGGTCTTCGCTCTGGCTGGGCTCTGGCCTGAGCGGCCCCGGAGCCGTCAGGCTTTGCTGCTTGGCAGGCCCCACAGCCATGAGGCCTCTATGCTCCGCCTGGCACCGGGGCACTGTGGCCTCACTGCTCTGCCTGACACTGCGGCCGTGTGGCCTTGCTGCTCCGCTTGGCCCCGGGGCTGTGATGCCTCACTGCTCCGCCAGCCCCGGGTCCGTGATGCGCCATCTTTGTTGGCGGTTAATTTGCATATTGCACTGATTAGCCAATTACCATGTTTGTCTACTATTAGGTAAGACTAGAGGCCCGATACACGAAATTCATGCAAGGGAATTGGCCCCCACAGCCGTGGCGGCTTGCCTTGGCCCTTGCAGCCCTAGCTTAATCCAGAAGGTCATCCAGAAGGACATCTAGAAGGCTGTCCAGAAGGTTGTTTGGCTGCCTGGTCTAATTAGCATATTATGCTTTTATTATTATAGATTGGGAGCCAGTCATGCAGACACACTGTATAGAGAATTGGATTCTTCCCTAACACAGACTTTTCCACCACACAGAAAGAGATGTCTTGATCTGTTTATAGCATAAAGGGGCTGAGGATGAACAGGAGACATTCAGAGGCCTATCTGTCCTCCAGAATAATCATCTTACTAATATTATAATGAGGCACTTTACAATACAGTCGGCTTGTTCTATCCCAGTGTCTAATAACGGTTTTTAAGGTTCCTTCAATGAGATAACCAAAATTGTTCTTACTTTAGGGAAGTTGGCATATATTTTAAGATAACTACGCCACTTTCAGGTAAACCTAGCACATTTGTAAATTTCTGTATCAGCTACTGAAATATATCAGTCAAAACAGATTAGATACTAGTTTTATTTTATTTTGGGGGAGTCTGTTTTGATTTGTTGATAGGTGCATCTTTACGAAGATGTGCACACATTTCTCATGGTCTTGGAGACAGAAAGACCCACATGCTGATCAGATGAAGAAAGTCACCTTCAGAGATGACAGTCTTTTCTGCACCTAAAATATGCATGTCCACACAAAAATGCAGCTTGACAAGGGCTTTGTATTAATGAGCTGCATAAATATCAATCAAGTAAAAATGAGGAGGCATGTACAAGCTCTATGGGAATTACTCTGGGTAGGTTATCACAAGAGGACCTGATATCATTCTCCAGTTTGTCCACTCTGAGGTACAGCTGCTGTGGTAGAAATGGCTGGATTGCCTTCTAAACATCCATGTACTCTTCTTTTCTTAATAATAGAAACCCAAGTTTCCCCTTGTCACTTTTCCTGTAGTAAAGACTTTGTTTCTCAGCCTCCTTTGTAGATAGATGTGGCCTGTGAAGATATTCAGCCCACTGTGATTTGAGCAGAAGGGTTTTGTGAGATTCTTGAGCTGACTGCTTAAAGGGACCCCTGCAGTTTTGTTCTCTCCTACTTCCTCCCTCTACTGACCTGGAATCTTTATGTGGTGGCTGGAGCTTTAGTGGTCATCTTGGGGATGCAACCTTGAGGATGCAGGCAAACAATATCACTAGTGGAGCATAATGTCAGAGCCTGTGTCACTGAAGAAGGAGTGACACTACACTACCCCTGGATTACCTACATCTGGATCTCTTTTATGCAGGATAAAAATAAGCTACCCTGTTCAAGCCAGTGTAATTTTTTTGGTATAGAAAAAGGACCAAATATTAACAAATATACTTCTACAAAATGTAAGATCAATAATCTAATACAAAGAAATAATGATAGCCCTAGCTGGCTTGGCTCAGTAGATAGAGTGTTGGCCTGCAGACTGAAGGGTCCTGGGTTAGATTCCTGTCAGGGGCACATGCCTAGGTTGCAGGCTTGATCCCCAGTAGGGGGCGTGCATTAGGCAACTGATGGATGATTCACTCTCATTATTGATGTTTCTATCTTTCCTTCTCTCTTCCTCTCTGATATCAACAAAAATATATATTTTTTAAAAGAAATAACTATATTAAGGCCTTTGCTAAGGGGGCAATACATTTAATTATACTGGAGGTTCATCTAACACCTTCTGTATACATAGAACAAATATAAAGAATACTTTTTTCTGACTATAAGTTTTAAGTCTATGACTGTTTAGAGAAATCACTGTATCTTTATTTTTAAAACATTAGATATATAAAATGGTAGCTGATCTAAACTGCCAGCACAGGGCCTAAGAATAAAGGAACTGATGATTTCTTTTAAGCCATAAAACATTTTCAGGATGATGTCATTTCAATAACATTGTACTTTCTGCCGAGGAGGGCTGATTCAATTTTCTTAGTCTGATGTTGACTCGGCAGACCAAGAAAATTATGTTAGCAATTTTCCCCTAGTCCGTTTACCTCAGTAGCAGTATATTTTGAGACAAATTATCTGAATCAAAGCTGGCTAATACATATCTTAGGAGGAAAAAATCCCCACTTGTATTGTACTCAACTAAATCAAAGGAAAATCAGCTTCCCTGTAAACACTACAATAAATTCAAGACAATAAAAATGAAGCCCATACATTGCACACTGTTGAACTTTTAAGACTTTTACCTATGTCTTTTGGAACCATTTTATGGGTGTAACATTATTTTATGACTCATGAGTTTAGCAGACTTGTTATTTGGAAGATGTTTAAATACATTAGATTTTAGAAAGAGGCCCTTATTTCTTTGCCTACAGTCACTTCCAGAATTGTTTTATAGTGGATTGATTCCTTGCCTAAGCATCAATACTCATGATTCATTGCCTTATCAATGCAGAGATATAGCTACTGATATTGCAGGCTCATTTTTATATTTCATTCCTTCCCTTTTCATTTACATTTTTTTGTACAGTCACTGGCTAAAGAGTAGATATATCAAATCCAGTTTCTTTTATTTTTTACTTTGAGAGAACACTTGATATCTCAGAAGATGGGTAAATTAAAAAAATATTAAAATAACTGCTCAACAAATTTGACTAAATCTTTTTGCAATAATGACAATGTTCTCTTGCAACCAAACAACCAAATTGAAAATGTCAGGGACAATAACCAAAACAGGATGATATTGGCAGAGAAAACCACAAACAGACCAATGGAGCAGAAGCGATAGCCCAGAAATAAGCCCACGTATACGTGAGCAAATAATTTTTTTCTTTTTATTTTTATATATTTTATTGATTTTTTACAGAGAGGAAGGGAGAGAGATAGAGAGTTAGAAACATCGATGAGAGAGAAACATCGATCAGCTGCCTCCTGCACATCCCCCGCTGGGGATGTGCCTGCAACCCAGGTACATGCCCTTGACCGGAATCGAACCTGGGACCCTTCAGTCCGCAGGCCGACGCTCCATCCACTGAGCCAAACCGGTTTCGGCAGCAAATAATTTTTTGATGAAGGAGCCAAAAACATATAATGAAAGAAAAAGAAAGCCTCTTCAATAAATGGTGCTGGGAAAATTGGAAAGCCACATATAAAAGAATGAAACTAGACTGTTT